CATTCAGCTATAAAAAAAAAAAATCCCACAAAGATTTTGTGTGTTAACAGGTCTATGTATGTAAAACAAATAACATTTTCTACGGTACATCTTTACACCTAAACTTCTCACTCAATAAATGACAGACAAATTTGAGACTAGTAAAACAGAATATTCAACATATACAACAAAATAATATGTTCAAGTACACTATGTTGTAAACTATTGGCTCCTACGATTATTTACTGGAGGGAATGTACTACAGTTGGACGCGGAATGTCAATATCTCTACTTTAATAAATTTCATTGAAATGGCCATATAACAGTGACGTAATTAAATCCCAGACACGTGACGGAATCACACACACACACACACATATGCCATCATTTATAATTCATTTGCAATGGTGTCGACCTACGGCATATCTTCAAAATGAAATTTATATCACAGCATGTGCAATTTGCTGCAGCCACGCGCAGAGTTGAAGACACTCTGATACAAAAACTGGCTGAAACAACGGTGGATCATGGGTGGATCAACATGTAAACACATGTGTGACAGTTGTGGCAGCTCAGAACAGGACTGCCTCTGCAGCTGATCAGCTCGTTTGAACTGAAACTAGCGTCTGTTGACTTTCCTTTACCTTCTATACTTGATCAGAGGGTTGCAGTCAGTACTACGATGCCGTAAGATGTCGCGACTATGATCCCGACTCGTAGATACTCGTAAACGTCAAAAGATTCGAATAAATGGGCGCCAATTGAAGTGTGTTATGATTCCCAAGCCGCCATCTTAAAAACATTTGACATGCGCGCGCATAATGACATCACCCGTGGCAACAAGCAATGCGGAGTACGGGGTGTAGACTGGCTCCAGTCGGGACGATTTTTTTTAAAACATTGGTGTAATTTTCAATTGAAAAACAATATTTTCCCTACTTACCGCGGAATCAACCCCGGGGTATTTCGCGGTGAGTGGGGCATTTCGCGGAAATATTGCTTTAATTCACCAGAGACAGGAACTATTCATAGCCAGTCTATAGGGGGGTAATTTTAATGCATCCAGAGGAGGTAATATCATGTAACAGTGTAGGAACGTTGCAAACTGAAAATAATCACATTTAATGTACACTGTAACCTCAGTAAAGCATTACTTGAATTAAAGAAAACATTAATATATTATATATGAACCTATAGTTGTCATGACTACGACTATGGCAGGTGGCATGAAGTCACGTGTACAGTTTTGAAAATGTACGCCCGGTATCTCATTTTCACAAAACATGAATTTTCAGCCGCAATCATGTATGGCGGCATGTCTGATCACAACCAAGGTGTCAATCAACTTATCAACTTTCTGAAGGTGGGCGTATTTGCCGCTTTAACCCGGGCACAGTTGCTCGGAAGGACTGTGCCCGGGGCTATTCATAAGAAAACTATGGGGCTCGGGGAATTTGACCTTCTACAAATATTTTATTTACATTTATCATATTTACATATTCACTCATGACATTTTTTTGCAAAATTCTCCAACAGTTGTTATACCGAAAGCGTAATTCCACTTCTGAATCAGACGGCGGTATATGATGTAATCAGTCCAGTATTCAGACATAGAAAAACACTGAACGACATTCGTTCCGGTAACACTAACGGTGTAAAATGCGAGACGAGACTCTCTCGCAGTTTGGCGAGACTTCGGGGAGGAATTATTCTCACAATTTTTTTGTCGATACTTCACATTCGCACTAATTGTTCTGTACATTCTCACGAATACTTTATTGAGGATTTAGATTATCGCCAATAGAACAGTGGGAATTTTTAAATTCGCAAACAAATTCGTGAGAATTTATGATAATTTCGAATCTCGCCATTAAGGAGAATAACACCAAGTCTAGCTGGACTGCGATAAAGTGACAGTTTCTTGCTCTAGTCGTTATTTCATATATGTATACAACAATGCTCGTGGCAATATCAATGATGGAGAATGGCATATGTGTATGTAGATTGTATAAAGGCGTCGAGAGATGGAACGGAATATACGTCAAAGTAGCACAACACGTCAACTGAGCTTTTAACCACTTAATATTATCGAATACATATTTTTTTTACATATCTTTTTTAAGGATTGCAAAAAAAAATTGCTGTCCTCCTACTCAATTCGAAGCAAATTGATCTACGGAATGGAATGAACGAAGTCTATTTTGTATATTTTAGCATATTTTCCAATTGTTTGCAATGACAAAAATGATGTACACTGTCTGTAAAGGTACTTGTTGGTGCCATATACCGTGCGTTGTTATTATGCAAAGATACGATTACATTATCTTTAGATGAATAACCGCGAAATCGGAGACGATTCTGAAAACGGAAGTAGCGCTCATGCGATTCGTGACTACTCCAAAAGTCGTGTGCGTCACGGTGGGGGCTGGAGTAGTGAGACAACATTGATACAGCACAGCATTACAAGTACTCGCAAAGAAACCAACCCCCGAAAAAAGATCTGTTTCCTTTCTTACGTTAAGTGATGGACAGAATATACCACCCAGAAGTTACGATAAATGTCCGACGTTCTTCCACGCAGGCAAGCGTAACGTTTATATCTGTCAATTATTTTTCTCGTCTAAGTGCACATTTTTGTTTGTTTCCGGAACAGTTATCATGCCATTTTCGAACGTAATTCAAAGAAATTCTTTTCCTGTGTTCTTACAAATCTAAAGCAATTTTAAAATTGTCGTGTACAACAACTTTTAAAAGTCTGGGACACGAGTCTGTATTACTCTCAGAATGACATGCGAGTGAATACGTTAAATTTTCGAATGGTATGACATCAGTATACGGACGGCGGGTCGGATGGCGAGCCCGGTAATCGAACATCGATAACTCCGATATCTTCGGAATGTCACGGTCAGTGAAAATTATGTGTCGATTATGTCATAAAATAATTGTGTGGAGAAAGTAATACACCATACGCAAAAACAGTTTATGCAAATTAAGCATGCATATTCATGAAGTTTATGTCAACCCGTCATGTTATAAAAGAAATCAACAAAATGGTTTCGCTATCGCCCCTAAACATCGCCGCAAAACCCCCAGCCTCTTTCCGACGAAAGACTTTGTAAAACACGTCTACCGTTCATCGCAGTACTCAATGGCTTGCAAATGCACCAATCAACAGGGCTTTTTCAACTAGAAAACCAATCAATTCTCTTGTAGAAGCAAACGATCCTTGTCGCTGATTGGTCAATCGCTTTCACGGCGCTTACTCATGATTATTCAAATTAGTTTTCAAATACAGGCATTGTCGGTATGTATCGGACAGAAATAATTGGTTCGTGAAGAAAAGGAGCTGTGTGCGGTGCATCATTCACCAAGAGAATAGGGTAGAGCAGGCCGGTGGTACTCAATGTTGGATGCGAGACTTTTCGTTTGACGGGAGGCGCGCGTTTACAAGACGTCATTGACCAAAACTACTCAAGAAGTATTACTTACCACCAACACGCAAATCCAGCATTTGACAGACACAAGACCATAGTGTCTAATCACCAGATCAACCATAACTGTCATTGTAGTTGTCACTCAAGAAAAATCTGAAATGTTCATAAACCCAAAGTCCTCGTACTGCTTACAAGGAGACAGTGTGATGATATTTACAGGTCATATAAAGAGGGAATTCAAATGTAAACAGCCGATACGATTGATTTTCTCGTGTGGGTATTTATCTCGTCTTATATGGCTTTTGTCGTGAAAAAAGCTTCTATACAAGTATAGCTTTACAAATTCTTAGCGTTTCTTATAATCATCCCTTGATCGGCTTTTTGCAATGATGTGCAATGCGCTATTACGTGTTCGTTACGTTGCTACTGCGACGTGTTGTCATAGTAACGACATTCAAGGATGGGGTACAGAACCGTTACTGATGTGTATGAGGAGACGCTGTCTGATTAAAATCTGACGTAACTCTCTACACAGGATTTCAAGCAGATCGGAAGTGATCTATATTATCCATAGTTTATTTAAATTGTTCTCTTCCCGTATCGGTAATCATGTCACTCTCCCCTACCTCCACGTCGTGACATGTTGGAAGAATGAAAAGTAGCAAGACAACATACGAACCTTGTTAAGTAGCGTGAGTACAACACGACACCAAGAAATAAAGGGAAAGCCGAACTCAAACCCCCGATAAAAAGACATACACAAAGTATACTGTCAATCCAACAACTATTTTTTCTGTCCCAAGACAGTTATAACACACATAATTCGAAATATAAACCAAATGACAAATGGTTCAAAAAAACCGTATTATCACAAGTTATCCCTAATTGTTATTGCATCATATTCTTATTTAAAAAAAAATATGTCAACTTATAAACAAAACGTTTAGCCATCTCGATTTGTGCCTTGAAAGTCATCACGGATGTCGCGAACTACGCTACTGGCTTCGCGGTGTATTTGTTCTTTGGGCCAATGGCATTTTGCTTTGCAATAAATAAACAATACAAAAAATAAACAATACATATTGTGATATATCGACCGTAAAAATAGCTTTACAATCGTGGTGTGAAGTTGTCATTGTCGTGTACCACACTGCGTAATACTTGTCCAATACATGGAATCCACGGATAAGGAGTCCTGATTTGTTTCTCAAACAATCATAAAACTTCGGTGGTCATAAATATCCGTAGCACGAATTACTTAATTATAGAAGTCTGGAATGCAATCGATCATTCATGAATATCGAAGGTACGCATGCGCAAGTTGAATACAGTGACATCACTTTAGGACAGATGTATCATGAAGTATGGTTACCATACCGTACAGCCTATAGTTTAACCCAACCTCCCTCTACGCAATTTGGTTGATTCCAACAGCATTGCTCAAACATTTTATCATATCTGCCATCGTATACGGAAACGTATACATCAGAACTTGGGAACAGTGCTTTCGTAGTAAGTGGTTATGTACAAAAATTGGATGTTTGGGTTTTTTAATCGTTGCGTCCAACTATTAAGCAATATGCACGGGAGCAAGATTAGTGTTTTTAACCAAACATAACAGTACATGTTATAAAACGACTAATATATTCCTTTTTTTATTTGGTTACAGAATTTGTTCTTTCTTACAACACCAAGCTGGGTTCTTCGTGACTTTAGCAGCGTTCGCCATCGAGCCGAAACCACGGGATCTCCACTTAGTTAATTTCACATAGCACAGAGTCGACATTACCAGGCTGTATACCCCAGCGTGCATTCAACTACACTTCCACAAAAGGTAAGTTGCCGACGCATGCCTTTGATTATTCGACTTCCTTGCAAAATGTTTCCTGTATTCGTCTTGGCTTAAGTCGATGCAATTATACAGCGTGTTCTAAGTGAAGTTCCATCAAAGAGGTTCGGTGTCCCGTGGTTAACAATGAAGAACATCACACAACATGTGGATAATGTATCATCAATATATGTAAGGTGGTTTATATAATATAACCTGGGGGATGTAAATAAGTTTTCATTAAATAATATTTTTACCAAATTCACCCAAATTCACACCTTTATGTGTCGCTATTTGTTTCCAGCAAATAGGCAAAAAAGGCAAATAGGCAATTTGTAATTGTTGGATTAATTTTAACATTAATTGTATTTCAACCGATAAGTATGAATCATTATGAAAATTATTGATCATTAACGGAATCACGCCTACAAAATACAGTCTTGTCAATCCAGGGCAGCGACAAATCTAATGTATACGTGGTTTCTGACAAATTTACATTATAATGTTTTAAGATTAGGAACGT